ACCCCCTCCACTCTTCCTCCTGCCACCCCTCGATCGACCTACGTTCGAGGTCTCGCGGACGAGATTGCCCAGCTCCGGGCCAACCTCGCCCTCTTACGCCTTCAGCCACGCCCACCCTCACAGGTAGCCGCGCCTTCGGGCGCACCCCCTACCTCCTCTACCCTTCCTCCCATGCAGGCTCGCTTTCCACGCCCTGCACCCTTTACAACTCCTTCCTACCTTCTTCCTACTCCTGCGGTTGCTGCGACCTCTTCTGCTGCATCACCCTGACAGCCTGCCGCTGTTGCCACCGCCGCTCCCCCATGCGGCCCGGGCGCACAGTCAGCTGCGCCCCTTTCTCCAGGACCTGCGCCGACTTACTCAGCCGTGGCATAGGCCTCCGCTCCTCGATCCCCTCGCCGCCAAAATGGTGGCGCCCCACTCATCCGCTTGTCGGACATTGTCTTGTATGACGGTACAGGCATACGTGTGTTTCGGTGGCTGCAGTTTGCCACCCGCACACTCCAGCTCATGGACGCCACACCCGAGACGTGGGTGGGTCACCTCTCCACGCGCCTGCGTGGCGGTCCTTTCGAGGCCTGGGAGGATTTCTATGCCTACTCCCTTCGTGAGGGTCGGACTCCGACCTTCGTGGATTTCCAGGCGTTCCTCGAGGATCGCTTCGGAGCCCGATATGACGTGACTGACGCCTTCGAGCGTGTCATTACTACACGCTGGTCCGTCTCTGGTAGCGCTGCCGGCCTGGATCGCCACATCCAGGTCTTTCAGGACGCCCACCTCGTTTGCGACGTGGCGTTCCTCCCCGAGGCTGCCCTTATCGATCGTTTATTGCCCAGCCTTCCGCTCGAGTACCGCTCCGAGCTATGGCGGTACAAGTTCACATCGGCCCCACAGGCTTACGAGGCCGCCAATGACCACCAGCGGATGCGAGCCCGTCTTCACCCCGCCTCCTCCTCCCAGCCCCAGCGCATGGGCTACGCCTCCTCCTCCTCTCACGACACTTCCTAGCGCCATTCCCCTTTCCACGGTCGCCCCCGCCGTTCCATGCAGCAGGGACGCCACTTCTCGCGCCGCTTTAGCGCGCTGGAGTATGGTGAGCAGGACGCTGTTGCCCCACTGTCACCTGAGGGCGACCACAGCGATGACCTCGATCTCTGCGAGGCCGTCCACTATCACTTGGAGGACTCTACCCTCCCTGCAGCTGAGCGCCTTCAGCTCGCGCTCTCTGCCCTCTCTCGGGCACGCAGCCGCTCCGGTCACGCTGGCGCGTCGCCCCCCGAGGTCCCTCAGGAGGACCTCCCTCAGGGCTTCGTCCCTCCTTGTGGTGTCCTTTCCGCTGAGGAGCGCGCGACTATTCTGGGCCGGCGTGGGTGTTTGCGCTGCCGCTTGGACGGTCATACCTCCTCGCGATGCCCTTACACTACCGCCCTCGACCGCCACTACGCTGACCTTTCTCGTCAACGTCGTGCTCAGTCCTCCCTCGGCGCCTCACGTCCCCACGGCGCCTCCTAGCCATGGTGCAGTGTACACCTGCGCCCTCCTCAGTAGTGGGTTTCCTGACATCTCCGTCGCGGTTCACCCCTCTCGCTACTGGAATTGAGGTATCGCAGGACTCGACAGAGTGTACTCAGCCCTCTGTCGCAGTACCGTCTGTGCCTCCGCAGACCACCGTCTCCCCTCCTTCCCCGCCGTGACTACCGACGCGTCGAGCCATTCGCTCAGCCCGTTGCAGCGAGCAACTTGCTACTCGCGAGGACGTTGTGTCCTCTCTTCTGGACTTGAGCATGCTCCAGGCTTGTCAGGAGCGACTCACCCTCCATGTCGCTGCACTGCATCACCTTCTCGCCATCCTCTCTGACCCTGATCGCACCCTCCCGATCATCCCAGTACGACTCGGGACCTCCACGAGGGTGTACTCAGCGCTGTGGGATTCCGGTTCTCAGGGCGACTTCATTCACCCACACGTGGTGAAGGAAGCCCGCTTACCCACGACAGGGTCTCCGACTCCCATCTCCGTTACCCTAGGGGATGACAAGACCCAACGCTTCTTCGATCAGATGGTCACCAACCTCCCCTTCTTCCTCACTCTCGAGCCGACTGATCGCTCCCCGGCGTCTCGTCGCCATTGCTCCTCTGCACATTTCGATGTGATGGAGACGGGGTACGACTTCATTCTCGGCACTCCGTGGTCTCGTCGGTTCCGCAGCACCGAGGCCGATTGGGCGACCAACACTCTCGTTCTCAAAACGAAGTGTGGACAAACGTATCGCGTACCTTTCATAGGTACCACGGCGACACCACGCCCCGATCCTCCTCCCCCGGAGCCTTTAGTGCCCACATCATCTCCCTCTATCACGGTCACCTCGCCTCGGCAGTTCGCTCACTTCATTCGACAGGACGACGTCACCTTTTTTATGGTGGACGTGATGGATCTCTTACACTATGATCCACCCTGTCCCGACGCCGAGCTCATCCCTCTGAAGCGATCTTCCCTCTATCTCCATGACTCCCATCTCTACTTCCGTCCCTCCGCTATCCGTCGAGTCCACCCCGCCGTCGCGCGCTGACGCTGACGCTGAGGAACTCGCATGATATACGGCTGACTTGGAACCTGCAGTTCGTGACCTCATCCGAGAGTACCATGACGTTTTCCCATCGTCGTTCTCGTACGCCGGCATCCCACTGATGCGTGACGCCGAGCACTCCATTCAGCTTGTGCCTGACTATCGTGTTCACCACCAGGCACCCTACAGACTCTCGATCCCCGAGGCCACCGAACTCAAGCGTCAGCTTGAGGAGCTCCTGAGACTGGGTTTCATTAAACCCAACAACTCCCCGTGGGGTGCACCCGTCCTCTTTGCTTGCAAAGCGGACAGAACTTTCCGTCTCTGCATCGACTATCGCGGTCTCAACCGCTGCACGGTTAAGAACAACTATCCCATGCCTCGTTCCGATGAGCTGTTCGACCGCCTAGCAGGCAACCGCTTCTTTACGAAGATTGATCTTCGTAGCGGTTACCATCAGATCCGTGTCGCTGCAGCCGACCAGCCGAAGACCGCGTTCCGATCGTGATTCGGCCACTACGAGTTCACGGTGATGCCATTCGGCCTCACTAATGCTCCCGCTACCTTTCAGAGGGCGATG